CCTCTCTCAGATTTGTTCATTTTGTAATGATATCTTTAATTCTCTAATTTTGGTGAATATTTTTGTCATTTTTGGTAAAAAGTGATATTTTCGACTTCTTGTTAAAAAATGCAAGTGCAATTGCTTTGATATTACATATATAGGTACTACATGTGGACCTCTCTCAGATTTGTTCATTTCGTGATGATATCTTCAATTCTCTAATTTTGGTGAATATTTTTGTAATTTTTGGTAAAAAGTGATATTTTCGACTTCTTGTTAAAAACCACAAGTCCGATTGCTTTGATATTACATATATAGGTACTACATGTGGACCTCTCTCAGATTTGTTCATTTTGTGATGATGTCTTCAATTCTCTAATTTTGGTGAATATTTTTGTAATTTTTGGTAAAAAGTGATATTTTCGACTTCTTGTTAAAAACCAAAAGCTCAATTGCTTTGATATTACACATATATATACTACATGTGGACCTCTCTCAGATTTGTTCATTTCGTGATGATATCTTCAATTCTCTAATTTTGGTGAATATTTTGGTCATTTTTGATAGAAAGTGATATTTTCGACTTCTTGTTAAAAACTGTAAGTTCGATTGCTTTGATACTATACATATTGTTCATTTTCTAATGATGTCTTCAGTTCTTTAATTGAAATGTGCATTGCTAACAGCGGAGCTATCTCAGCCGATAGGCTGCTTTTTTTCATAACTATTGACCCAAATAGGGAGAACAACTTTCCCCTCACTATTTAAAAATTGAACCTTTTTGGGCAGCAACTCCCTAGGTTCGAATCAATGATTTCAGTTCGAGCGATGACCAAAACTGAATATAAGTAGAAGTAAAACTGATTTGTGGTAGAATGCAACATAGATCAGGTGCAATTTCCGCAGATCATTAGTGACAACACACATCCAACGATGGAGTTCTAGATACAACACCTAAAAATGAATGGCATACTTAGAATAATAGGACAATGGAAAAAGTTGTAAAACTAATAGTTGGAGAATGGTTAACAAGTACAAGTAAATTGTAAACTCATAGTAGCTGATGGCATAGAAAGTATAAATAAACGGCATGGTAACATGTACTGCGTGTGTGATTCGAACCAATGCTCGGCACCTGGTCGTCTAACTCTACGTCTTCCACTCGGTGGAGGTTCTAGTGAACGTCCGGGGCCCGTATACGTAGTTTACTATAACCAAGACCCTAAACAGCATTAGTGTTCTTGTAGCTCTTCTTTAAATAAAATCACCAATACTTCCACTTCTGAATCCGACACATTTAAATTTCACATTTACCTTATGTTTTTCTATTACATTTTTTATAATCATAGTTTCCAAAGCTGGTTTCACTGACCGCAATTGACAATGATATTGACGTATTTCGAAACTAGCATAATTTCAGTTTCAGGGTAAAATGCTTTATATAGCATTAACACAGTCCTAGTGACAACTGCATCTTCGTAATATGTGTCTGATGATACCGTGACAAGTTACTGTTCAATTTTTTTTTATGAAAACAAGTAATAGGGAACCAAATGGTGCCACTCTTCATAGTTTCAGCACCACATACTTTATCGTATACGTTAGTGTGTTTATATAGATGCCATGGCAGTACCATATTAACGCATAAATATATACATATTTTTTATTGGTAAATATTAGGAGAATTTACACTTGGTATTTGGGAGTATGGAATAGTCAGACATAAATAAATATAAACATTATAGTTTTCACGTTTACTTCCACTTTTACGTAATAAACATACTTTTCACCTCTCACGATTGAGGGATGGACATACCAAACCATGGGTCTGTTCAGTCGTGCAGTACACTAATATCGTATTTTATCATACGCCTCGTTGCCCGGCCTCGTAACGCTATGAGAAGTGCGCCCTCGCATCAAGGCAATATTTTTCTGTATCGCGCCAGGCCCAGCGCACCCGGCTTTCATCAATCAAAACAAAACGCGTCATTCTAAAGTCACGCTGTGGTAAAATTGTAATTAGTCCATAAAGAATACTATCCCTCGTTTTCAGGGTATGTACTTTGTATTCACATTTGCCTCGCAGCGCGTGTTCGAATTTCATGTAAACAATGTATTTTACGGGCACTCGCATGCTGTTAACATAGACAGAAGAAAAACCTTGCTGTCTTGAGAAGTACTTGAAATTACCAGCAAAAAGAAGATATCCATATGTTTAGTTATTCTCGTTAAAGTCAAGGAGAAAACGTCGTGCTCATAAACGTCATAACTCGACACGTGTTGCAGTTAACCAATATGTTATACGGAACCGTGCCGGGTCAAACTGAGAAGTTTTTTGACGGCAGGCGACAATTACGACCTTTTCGACCACGGAAGCTTCGACAACTATTTGTCACCTCGGAACTCACACACGTGTTTTATATCCTACGCGAGTTTTTGCCGCAATAACTCGTATGGATTGAATAAGTCTATTTACTTACACGATACAGGTCTCGCCCAGCATCCTTTGCAATGTTCGTTTGACAGGAATGAACTGTTTGTTTTTTCGCGTTTATTAGTCAATTTTGCTTGAGTAAGTGTATCCCAACGTTATATTCCCCTTAAAAGCATAGCATTTTTTTCATTGAACTAAAAAAAAGAAATTCAAGTTCAAAAACAAATCATTCAGCTACCCCAAAAAATAAAAATAGCATTATCCTACCGGGCGGGCGGAACATTACAACCTTCAGCGCCAGGGGTAGCAGCAGGCGTTCAGTCAGCATCTTCCATGCAGTGCACGAGATCTCGCAGTTAACGGAAATCACCTTTTCAAGACAGCTTTGGTACACATTTTTTTTTCCTGAAAAATCTTACAAGTGTATTTTTCTCCCGTAAATTTATTCCCCCCCCCCCCCAGAGAGCTACTGTGAGTGTTTACATATAGGCCCACGTAGTTGAAAGTCTAAATCTATATTTAGGTATTATTTCCTGAAATTAGGGGGCTGTGGTAAACGAAAACACTGCACAGAACACAAGAAATATATGAATACATGTGCTGTAGAAATTGTTACTTTGTTTAAGCATAGATTCAGATCTTCAGTATAAATGTAATTAGGACCTATAACAAGTCTCTGACCACTATGATCACTCACGAAAAAGTAAACGAATCTACGTTTGTACGTAAGATACGAATTCTTAGAAACCCCAAACTACATACCTGTCACACAATATCCGTTTTATCTGTATGTAGAGTTAAACGAACGAACGGCCGCCCGAACTGACATCAAAGGACATTACGAGAACTGATATGATAGGTTATCTGTGCATGCCACTTGTTACGCGCGGTATACACGATTCGCACGTATTATTTGTGTAATTAACGATCACATAAACTGGGTCAAATTCACAGTATGTTATAAATATGTGGTTAGTTTGAGCGAGAGAATACCATGTCTGATCAGCTTAAGTATCTAATGTCGTGGAAAGATTCGACAGTGATGGCAGTACACCAATATGCCAGCGTGGTTTGGGTGACGATCTGTGTCGTCCTAGTGTTAAACACGCTGCTACGACTGGCACAGTTGATGAGAAAACGTAGAAGGGCAGAACGGGACCTTGCATTGTTTCCTTCCCCGATGAGGCATTGGTTTTTTGGACATTTGCTGCTAGTAAGATTTGTCTGTTATTTTTTAAACATGTACGAAAATGAAACAATGGTTTTATTTTATTGAATCTGTATAATTTGTTTCCAAGTGTAGCTTTGACAAGAGTAGTGTGCTTTAAAGTAGTGAAAACAACCTTAGAGGTAACTGAGTTATGCTTATCGCAACAGGATTTACAACCATATTTATATCTTGTTAGTGTGCAGATTCTTATCAGAAAATGTTCAAAGTTCAAAAGTCAACGGGCGAACACATTGCTTACTCATCAAGCTAACGCTTCGAACGAGATGTTCCAGTTACGAACATCGAGTTCAGAAAAAATCGAGTTGCAACAATGGCAACGCCCATATTTCAGAAACCACGCCCACTTTTACAAACCACGCTCAAATTATATTCTTGTTTTTGTTGAGCGTTCACATTTAGTAACCTCAAACTTTTATTAGTTTAATTGAATTCCGAGTTACGGGCAACATAGGTAGTGTTATTAAATGTGAACGTCAAGCAGGCAAACACGTATCTGTTGTTTGTTTTGCAGAGATTTTGCTTGATTTCCAGACGAGCTTGCCACGAGTTCGCCCGTACAGCCAGGCTGTCCGATTGGTAGCATTATTCGATCTGCGCATATTTTAAAGACAAGACGATGTAAAAGAGGCGATTTTGTCAGCCAATTATCATGTAACATCCCCGGCTTTTGATAATTACCATTACATAATCTGAACGATTAACGATTTGTATCGTTTATAGATGAAAAACAACGAACAGTCATTTCTGCTACTGGAAAGTTTTACCAAACATCACAGCACGTCTCGAGTTTCATGGACAGGTCCGTTTGAAGTCACCGTTATATTGTACCACCCATCGGTCATCAAACCGCTATTGGCGAGCACAGGTGAGGCCAACAGAACGCGTACACGACGTTGCAGCATACATTACGTTCAGTTTCAATTTTTTTTTGTTAGTTCTGTTTATTCGTTATGATTGTCACGTGCATGTCAGGTAGACACGGAACACAAACATATATATTTCTAATGATCTAGATGAATTACTACGAAGTCTACAAAAGTTACACATTTTTTCAGTTGGATGTTCAAAATAAACAAATTCAAATAAGAAATGATATTGCAGTAGGATATAATAAATAGTAGATTCCGTCATTAGTAGAAAAATAAGAGTTAAAATGAGAATACTGTATCATTATATAAGTTTATTATGGTCAAACCAATTTACGTTTTCTATAGAACCAAAAGACGATTTATTTTACGGATTTTTACGTCCCTGGCTTGGTGATGGGCTGTTGCTAAGTCGGGGAAAGAAATGGTTCAGAAACAGGAAGTTATTGACGCCAGGATTTCATTTTGATATTTTAAAACCATACGTTCAAGTATTCAATGAATGTGCAAATAAAATGCTGGTAAGTAAATAAATAGGTACATGCACCAGTATCTATCAATTAAATTCCCGTATATGTAGTAATAATATTCACACATTCCTTACAAATAATGTATTCATAATGTATGTACATCCCTCTCTAAATACTGATTTTGTTTTCGTGTAAAACAACAGGATAATTGGTCTGGTATATACAAATCTTCTGGTAACTCAGATGGCGTAACCATGGAAATGTTCGAACATATCAGTCTGATGACGTTGGATAGTTTATTGAGATGTATTTTCAGTCAGGAGAGCAATTGTCAAATGCACAGGTGAGGATTAGGAAAATGAAACACCGGGGAATCGTAATTGTGCAATTATCAAATAAATAATGTGTCCAGCACGAGTTGTCGCATGGGACTCACAGTGAATATAACGCCTTCCAAGAGTCCACCGACTACGACGCTTCACTATTGCTGAGTATATAGCGAAAACATTTCTCAAAAAACAGTCATATTTTTCTTTCAGGACACATCCATATATCCAAGCTGTGTATGCGCTGTCGTACTTAGTTGTTGAGAGGGGACGGTTCCCGCCCTTTTATAGTGATTTTATTTACGCCCTCACACCAAGTGGGTATAGGCACAGGCAAGCTTTGAAGGTTCTTCATGGGCACACGAATGCTGTTATCAAAGAGAGGAGGGAAACTTTAAAATCAGAAGAAGCACCTGGAATCGGCGGCAAAGAGAAGAAGTTCATAGACTTTTTAGACATTCTTCTTAAAGCCAAGGTATCTATGCATTGAGTGAGTTGTGTTTTGTTTTTGAGGCAAAGAAAAACAAATGCTTCATTTGTATACTTCCAATGTCTGTTTTTTTACCAGGATGCCGATGGGCATGGATTGACAGACAAAGAAATTCAAGATGAAGTCGACACTTTCATGTTTGAGGGTCACGATACCACAGCTAGTGGCATCTCATGGTGTCTATACAACCTGGCCAAATACAAAGAACATCAAGACAGGTGTAGAGAAGAGGTCAATGACCTGTTGACCATCAAGGATAGAACAAATATTGAATGGTAGGTCGTACACACTGAGGTTAGTCGTCAATTCCTGTGAGGTTACTGCTGACAAATGATCTTAATGATTGTAACCAGCGATAAATGAGAGTACATTTTTCAGAATAAATGAAAGTTTAATGTTGATCTTTAAAACTATAATTTCTCTAATAATCTGACAAATATGAATTGTATCCCGAACATTCCCTGAATTAATCGCAATTAAATTTAGATGACTGTTATGGTCCCATCTGTAAGCACAATGCGGGACATTTTGGGCTGGGTTCTGTGCGTCTGCCTGTCCGTTTGCTTTCCCAGGTTGATCTATATGAACCTAACTTCAAACAATCAACCCAAACACAGAATTGTATGTAATGTAATGATGCACGCTAGCGAGTTGGTTTGTGTTGCGGTGCATTCAATGATGGCCAATTGACAGCCACTTTGAATGACGATGTTAATTTTCGATGTCTTGTTTTATTCGTTGTATATTAGGGAAGATCTTGGTAAGTTACCATATCTTACGATGACTCTAAAGGAATCTCTGAGACTTCATCCTCCCGTGCCTATGACTGGTAGAATGTTGACAAAACCGTTGGTCTTGCCTGACGGCAGAACTATTCCTCCTGGTGAGTGATTCACAAATCGTGTCGTAATGTTTGTTACATTACAGTAATTAATTTAGTTATAATGTTCCGAAGTTATAAATTATATATAGAGGCACTGTGATTAAATCAATTGCAAGTGTATAAAGACGACCGCGGGGTTGCGTCCAAGTTTACAGAGGGCGCTATATATTGAAATCTAGGTTTGCCATGCCATGGAGATAATAATTCTGATTACCTCCATGGTCATGCGAACCCCGGGGATTACGGTTAATACCAGTTAATACAATTCTCACAATAGGGTGCGTCGTGCCCCGGGATCCATCACGTGACCGTTCAACAAAATTGACGAATACTCGTTCAGTTTTCAAATCGCATTTCATGTACCCATGCAATTATGTCTAAAACTATATTTCGATAAGATTTCTTATCTTAAATTATATAAACCCCCCAAAACGTTCAAAAACATAATGCCGCTTTAACATTCAAGGACCAGAAATAGATCGTTTACTTCAATTTCACACCGATGTCGAATTATTGAGACGTCTAATTCAGGTCTTCTAACTTTTGAACAGATTTGTTTTCTCATTTTCTGCTACCAAGGGTTTTTTTTTTCAAATGTGCCAGTCTACAAGTTGCTCCATCACTTAAGTGGTGTAATGCCACAATGCGATGAGAATGAGGATGTTATTTATATTCACCATAGGTTACCGAGTGACAGTAAACGCAGACTGTCTTCATCGTAATCAACATGTTTGGAAGGACCCATTGGTGTTCGATCCCCTGCGATTTACACCGGAAAACAAAAAGACCAGATCACCCCATGCATACATACCGTTTTCTGCAGGTCCACGGTAAGAGTCTATTTCAAACTAGACGATAGACAACGACTACGTGTATTAGATTTAATTATTGACATAGTTGTATGTCCATTTTCATCACATCATTATGTACATATCCATCTGTGACATATCATTAAGTGGCGAAAATGCATATTGCGTACACTATTGACCATGAATCCTGTATTCAGCACGTTTTCTCGTATATAATTTGATATTACAAGCTTTTTCCGGTTTTACAAAAGGAGAAAATAGTCTACTGTGTTTGTATATGTAAACATATTTCTACCGGTAATAAGAGCCACATAACAACACTGGCAGTTTGCAATTCACCCCCCCCCCATTCAACAATTGTCCATTACGTGTTACCGTTGGTAGCGAGTAAATGTTACCAACAACAGTGGCACGTAGCGGCTGGAGTCTGGAGTAAAACTGTTCGCCTCCCAGTATGTATCATCAGACATAATCGGTGTTTTTGTTGTGTTTCCCTAATAAACTGAACATTTGCTTCTGACGTTTTAGCTGTGTCAAAGGCATGATGCATATCTGATATTGGTACCGTGATCTAAGAAACGTGAGAAATAACGGTCATATTTCTTTCTTTTCTCTTCGATTTTCAGGAACTGTATCGGTCAGAATTTTGCTTTGAATGAAATGAAAGTAACCATTGCGACTATTTTGAACAGATTCGAATTGGATGTGGATGAGAGTCAGCCTCCTAATCGCACAATGCGTCTAGTATTGCGATCAATTAATGGAATTCATTTGAGAGTTAAACCACTTACCAAATGAATTGAAATATTTACGTGTCCTGTGATTAAAGATGCAACATGGATAAAATTGACATATTTTTCACAGGCTAATAAAGTGAATTTACAACACATATTAATTGTTTACCATATTAATCGTGCATTCATTTTAAAATACTAAAGTTACCAATACTTTCCCAAACATTACACCAGTACATGAAATATATATTGAATTTACAATATTTGTGAAGAACTTATAATTACAACGAAATCAATGGAACAAAAACGGCACATGAGAGTGTAGGAAAATACATCTAAATACACCACAACATATATTGTGTGTGCGGTATATTAGTCATACGGACCACTTAAATACTGCTGGTATTCTTATTGGGTTACTTTTAGTTATTCAATAAAATGGATTTATATACTTTAGATTATTTTCGTAAGTTTAGATACATAATACATAACGAAATAACAAACGCGCACACACGTACGTTTTCCCATGATAATACAGCCAATACACGTGTATGTCACTATGAGCTGTGGAACACTATAGGAGTTTCCATTTCACAGACCGTCTTCATCCAACCTAGCGAGCAGTCGGCGTCCTTCCACTCACCCGTTAGCTTCTGAAGGTAGACACAGCTACCGATGCCACTTAATCCTGAAGATATCCAATTGGTGTATTCCAGGCTTGAACCATCATTCCACTTGAATGACCCATTCATATCATCGTTCTCCAGTCCTAGAATAACATAGACACATTACAGGGATGTAATGTTTTGAATGTGAAAACAGTTGTCAAATACAAATTGAGTTTCAAATGTTGACACCAGAGGGCGCAGCGATTCGGGTCATTGACGCATGACACTTTGTTTACCACTTTTGAATCGTCACGTAAAGAAATATATTTGATTTAAAATACAATCTGACATATCATTCATATAAATGAAATAGCTCTCCACGAGAACTGATGTCCTATCATTTGATAGATAGGAGTGAAACCATGATTAAGTTTACCACATAAACCGTCATACTAATTTGTGAAAGAAGGGTGTGGTTGACAGAATCGAAAGCTTTGCTGAAATTCAAGTATATGGAGTCAACCTGGGTCCTTGAATCAATTTGAGTTGTAATGTAGACAATGTGATTGGCAATATTAGTTGCAGAAGGTCTGTATATTTAAATACCTTGCTGGAAATCGCTAATTGTGCCCTTAAGTGAAAAGAAATATGAAATAATATTACTTTGTCAAAGCTTTAGTAGCCAGATACTGCCTTCAGTGAATGTATTATAACGGTAAACACTCGTCGAGTTAGATACTGCATTCAACTGAACTTACGATCTCGATACACACTCACCTAACCGGATCAGCCCTCAATTAAACTTACTTTTTCTGTAAGCATTCAGCCTTTTACTGAACCTTCAATCTCGTTAAACACTCACCTGGAAAAGTTATTACCCTCCAATGTTCCCACAATTTATCCAAATATTGCCCTCGACTGAATCAAAATCTTGACAATCACTTACCTAGCCAAATATTACCTTCCAATGAACCCACGATCTCCGTGAACACGAATTCATTTTCAGCATTATCGTCAATCTTCAGCATGTACGCAGTTTTCCTGCGTGGAAATCAAATATAAATTGTATTACGGTAACCATTTCAACGACAAGTGTTTTACGGTAACCACACGCACGTATCACTGATCTATTATAATTGTTACAGTAACCATATCCACTATAACTGTATTGCAGTGGTCATATCCACTGTAACTGTATTACAGTAACCATATCCACTATAACTGTATTACAGTATCCATATCCACTATAACTGTGTTACAGTAATCATATCCACTATAACTGTATTACAGTAATCATACCCATTATTACTGTATTGCAGTGTTCATATCCACTATAACTGTATTACAGTATCCATATCCACTATAACTGTGTTACAGTAATCATATCCACTATAACTGTATTACAGTAATCATACCCATTATTACTGTATTGCAGTGTTCATATCCACTATAACTGTATTACAGTATCCATATCCACTATAACTGTGTTACAGTAATCATATCCACTATAACTGTCTTACATTAATCATATCCACTATAACTGTATTGCAGTGTTCATATCCACTATAACTGTATTACAGTATCCATATCCACTATAACTGTGTTACAGTAATCATATCCACTATAACTGTATTACAGTAATCATACCCATTATAACTGTATTACAGTGATCATATCTATTATAATTGTATTACAGTATTCATATCCATTATAACTGTATTACAGTTATCATATCCAATATAACTGTATTACGGTAATTATATCCATTATCACTGTATTGCCGTAATCATATCCACTAAAATTGCATTACAGTAATCATACCCATTATTACTGTATTACAGTATTCATATTCACTATAACTGTATTACAGTAATCATATCCACTATAACTGTATTGCAGTGGTCATATAAGCTATAACTGTATTACAGTATCCATATCCACTATAACTGTATTACAGTAATCATATCCACTATAACTGTATTACAGTAATCATACCCATTATAACTGTATTACAGTGATCATATCTATTATAACTGTATTACAGTATTCATATCCATTATAACTGTGTTATAGTAAACATATCCACTATAACTGTGTTACAGTAATCATATCCACTATGAATGTATTACATTAATCATATCTATTATAATTGTATTACAGTAATTATTTCTATTATAACTGTATTGCAGTTATCATATCCAATATAACTGTATTACGGTAATCATATCCATTATAACTGTATTACAGTTATCATATCCACTATAACTGTATTACAGTAATCATATCCATTATCACTGTATTGCCGTAATCATATCAACTATAACTGAATTACAGTAATCATACCCATTATTACTGTATTACAGTAATCATATCCATTATCACTGTATTACAGTATTCATATTCATTATGACTGTATTACAGTAATCATATCTATTATAACTGTATTGCAGTGG